CGTCTCTTACATCTGCAGCGTCTCTTACACCTGCAGCGATTCTTACACCTGCAGCGTCTCTTACACCTGCAGCGTCTCTTACATCTGCACTCTTACACCTGCAGTGTCTTATACACCTGCAGCGTCTCTTACACCTGCAGCGTCTCTTACACCTGCAGCGTCTCTTACACCTGCAGCATCTCTTACATTTGCAGCGTCTACTACATCTGCAGCGTCTCTTACATCTGCAGCGTCTTACAGCGTCACAGTTACTGCTCAGCTAAGATGCTACAGACGTAGCACTCCTCTCCTCCTAACATGTATATATGTTTATGATCAACCCCCTGGTCAACAACTGCCCACACTAAGCTCACTAAACTGGCGAGCCAGTAACACAGAGGTGTCTCCACCTCCTCCACCTGTGCACGTTTCATGCCGAGACAAGAGGAGGCACACAGAAACACTGCAGGCGTTACACCATATTCTGTGACCACCGTATATTGTGACCGTTGCAACAGGCTGCTGTGTTTAGAGTTGGAGGTAACCAGGAAAACCTGGAGTGGAGTTTTATTGGCCCGAGTATTCTCCTATTAATCAAGTGGAATGGATTCGTTCACAAAGAAAGAGAAACTAGAGAAACTAGACAAGAGTCTTTCTAAAGAAAGACTGAACAAATGTTTCATAGTAAAAGTGGGGGGGTCCAAATGAACTTTTTTTTTATGTGGGGGGGACTTGTCCCCTTCACATATAATGGTTGCAACACCTATGCATGTCCAGTCTTACTTTGTAAAACCACAATACAGCGAGTCTGCAAAAAACGAACCATGAAGTAGCGAAGGACTACTGTACTTTGTTCTGTCAGTTGTAATGTTCAGATTTGGGGCTCAGGTCATCTGAAAGATTTGTAATCATGGAGAAGGTTCTGTCTGCAGTGTGTAAAATGATCTGTTATCTTCTTTTAGACCTCATCTGAAGGAAGAGGAAATCTCTTTATTCATGTTTCTGCTACACATTCTTACAAATAGATCAGTTTGTTTCTTTTTGACAAAGATCCAGCCTTAAAAAACGTGTTCCTCTTCTTATATTCTGTAAGTCAGCACAGTTCAAAGTGCACCCAGCCAAGCATTTCACAAAACGTCATGAATCCTGTGTTGGTTTGAGTTAAATGATGCAAAGTACCACAAAGTGTAAAATAAATAAATGAGTAATCATACCAGGTCACGTTTTACTGCCCTTTGCTGTTATTCTTATGCTCACATTGTTTTTAGTACTGCTCTTATGTCCATACTGAGATCTATTGTGTGTTTTCTCAACACTAGGATTAGGGTTTTTTGGTTATTTGTGCCTAAATACTTCTTCTGCAGGATTGGAACATGATTTGATCCTGTATTTGTCATGAATGAAGAGGTGGTATTCAGATGTGGTAGTAGCTGAGAGTCATCTCCACCTCACACTCTGAGCACTAACATGTTGCACAATATTAGTTTGAAACAGGTTTAAAACTTAGGCATTACTTGTAGTGTACACCTCCACCATAGTTAATCTGTTAATCAATAAATATTGTTATATATTATTTTTTTCAGGACTGTGCCACGTTTATTCCTGTAGTTACACAAATGTTGTTCACTTGAGAAAACAGCAATAAATAAATAAAAATAAACTGGGCAAATATGCAAAAGAGCAGGCGTTTAACAGCAGAATGTCGGTTGTGAGAAGAGTTGTTTTTGATGGCTGATATAAAACAGGTCGGGCTTGTTTGGCTAGTCGTTAGCCTAGCCTGGAGAAGGACATCTGCTCTTTACTCCATACTCTGCTCTGTGGCTGGTGTCACAGCTCACACTATAGATTACTATTTGAATTAAAAAATGTTCATTTTAAAAATGACCACACTATTCCTTTAGGATGTGCAGAATAAGATAAGCAGGGAGGGAGCCTGGTGCCTGCTCACCAGGGTTTATAATCTAAGGGGTATCATAGCAACAGGCAGATTGCTTGAACAAATATTCCCCTAATTCTGTATTTGTTTTTAGGGGTGCTCATGTATGGGACAGATGGCAGAGGACAACGCACTGTCTGCTGCTAAGCGGGCGGTTTCTTGGAGCTTTTAGGAGTGTTTGTTGGGCTTTTGTCTGGGCACGAGACCAAAGTGTCCACCTACTGGACTTTGTCAGTTCTCAGTAAATATTCACAATATGGCTGTTTGTGCACTCTGGCCTGTCCGCCTGTCTCCATTTACTGATGATGTGTCAATATTGTCCGAGCTTGGACGAAGCGGGACTAACATGTCTTTGTTTCTTGCAGCGGGGCGTTTTCTGAAGTGGTGATGGCGCAGGAGAAGGCCAGGGGAAAGATGGTCGCTATCAAGTGCATCCCAAAGAAGGCTCTGAAAGGAAAGGAGACGAGCATCGAGAACGAAATTGCTGTCCTCAGGAAGTAGGTACCACGGGACTGAGCAGTGGAGATGTTGGTGGGTGGGTGGGGGTGGGGGGATGGGTCACATTAGAGGAGGGTGACCAGGCTTATTCTTCAGTCTCTCAGCTTGTTTACTTATACTTCGTTTATTTGAGAGTCGTTGATGGGTTCAAGTAACTGCTTCGTCGAATCCCATCTATGTGGGAATTCAGAGTGAACACACACACACACACACACACCTGCACAGACTGTGATGGAAATGCCCTGACACCAGGTGACACGTTGTCCTCCGGGGCCTGATGGGTAAATTCTGCGAGACGCTCTTATCAGTCACTTTCCAAGCAGCGTTGCAGGAGTTGGGTGTAGTTGCTGGGTTACTGTTGCTATCCTTCAGCTCGCTCGATATTTTCCTCTCTTCCTCTTGATTACTGATGTTTTTCTTCTCATTTATTTATATATATTCTCTCTGCTTGTTTCTGACACTCCTCAAACTGAAACCTCATTTTCATTCCAGCCTTAGAAAGAAGAGAAGTTGTGAAGGTTGTTTATTCCTTTGAGATCACCTCCTCCTCCTCCTCCTCCTCCTCCTCCTCCTCCTCCACTTCTGCCTTTCTCTTTTCAAACACCAGCCTTTTTGTAGATCCTTTATCAACTGCATGTTACCTTTCCTTTTTATTGCCAGCCTCTAAAGGCAAACAGGTGATAGTGTTTGTGTTCATGTGTGTGTGGTTGTGTGTTCATTTGTTTGTCTGTTAGACAAATATCTCATGAGAATCTACAACTGATTAACTTCTGGAGTTAATCCTATCCAAGATGGTCACCTCTCATTAACCAACACAAAATGGCTATAACTTTGATGTGTAGTTTGACGTGGTAGCTGAGAGTATTTCACTACACAAACTGTTCTATTTGTAAAGTTGTGCTCATCATTAACAAGGTGTGACCAAAACAGCTGTAACTGATTTTAGTTTAATCATCTGGCAAATCACTGGCAGGTGATATGCATTTAGTCAAGTAATGCTAAATTGTTAATTTCCCTAAATTTTTTTTGTTGTCTGCGCAGTCATAGCATCTTGATCCATCATGTAGTATTTTTCTGACAGAGGTTTTGCAGCTTCGTGATTCATTGACCTCCAGTGCTACAGTGTTTGCAAAGGTTTCAAACTTCAAATTTCAAACAATATTATCATTTATCGCAATAATTTCTGAGACAATCACCCAGCAAAATTTGTTATTGTGACAGGCCTAACATTTACACAAACAAAAGAAAATGTATGAGGAAGCAAATTCATTGAAGGAGCATCTTTGTTTTCCCAGGGGCAATTTTAGCCACTCATGTCAAAATGTTCAGCTCGTTCAGGAGATGGGTGACTAGGGATGTGCAATATGGCATAAAATTCATATCACGATATGAATTGTGATGGGTGGTGGTAACGATATATCACGATATGTTTTTGGTCTAAAACTTGCAATAGGAATGAAAAAAAAAGCATAGGGTGTCCTTTTGCCATCATTTATTTTGAAAACTGCTATACCACAAAATAATCTCAATTAAGAAAATTCCACTACTAGGTCCAGAGAGTTTTTAAATAATAAACAAATCAAGTATTAGGCTTCTTTCTTGTAGTGCAAAACAGTGCAAGATATCAAATGTAGTAATAATAATTGTAAATAATTAATGAGCCAAATGACAGTTGCTTGTCTTTGACTAACTTTATTTTTGAGAGCACAACAGGAACAGCTTTCAATTTGTTCCTGAGAGAGTGTGGAAAAACTGCGGTGTCACTTTAAGAGAATGAGAAGCTTTGGGAATGCTTATCACCCGCTGACTTGGTTAGTACGAATTGACTTTTTGTGTATGTATATGTTTTTGTGAAGTGCCCTGGGACGACTTCTGTGGTGACTTAGTGTTATATACATAGACTTGATTGAATTTAATTAAATGGATTCTGTTTAAGTTGTGCTAGACAAGCATATTGTGGTAACCTGCAAGAATTTAATCATTTAAGTACAAAGTATGTTAGGTAGTTGTTACATTTAATCACACTGCTTGAATCTTTATGGAGTTGCAGTAAATTGATAAGGAAGTGGTCTTGGCAGGTGGTGAGAGTAAAAAGGACTATTTTGAAAAGGGGGGAGCTAGATGTAGACATAGCACCCGCCCAGAACACACAAACAAGAATCACACACAACACCTCCCTGCCTGAACGCAGATTAGACATACATCAAACCTTGGTGCAGAGACAATGCAGGGAGGAAATGAGTAGCAACATTTCACTCACACCAGACTCATTTAAAGACATGCACAGTCTCAGGAACAAACACACACAATCAAGCTGTGCTCAGGTATGCAGACTTACACAGAACATGGAAAGTGATTATTAGATTTTGGTATAAGTTGGTAACATTACAATTAGTGTCCTTTCTAAGAAGATTTCTAAAAAGAGAAATTGAGGATGTGTTTATAATGGATTTTTAGTAGGGTGTAGGGAATTTTGGCTTTGATTCTGATTTCAGTATTAAATGAGAGTTTTCACTTTTTGTGTAAATGAGTGCTTTTAAAATTAGTTGTGCAAACCAGGATGCAGGATGGCTCGGTTGGAGGTGGATGCTGGCAGATATTCTAAAATAGAACTTTCCAACAGATAATTGATTTTGATCTTGATTTTTATTATTTGCATTTTATTTTTTATTTTTTATTGGTCCTTTTTTCTCCTTTCAGCAGGTTAATCATAGAGGGTTTTTGGATCAGGACAGTGACTCTGGCAACAGCACACAGAAACACACACACACAGGTAGTTTCCATTTAGATCTAGTCAGATGTCATGATGTGCCCAGAGCAGACTCAAACAGCATCGTAGTGTTGCATCATGAACCTCTGGTTTTGATCACCAAATAAAATATCACATGTGTACAGGTTGACACAAAAAGTACATCTGCTACCAAATGTGACTTATGAGAACACCTGACTGTGGCAA